TCATTCTGCTGTGTAGACTTTCAATGGAGTTTTTAATCTCCTGGAAATCTGTTTGCATCTGTTTTATGGATTCCATTTGTTTCCTACATTGAGATTCCATCATGTTCCTCAGATCTTCTATTTTTTTTATCTGTGTCCTCTCTAGAATTTTTAATCTTGTCTTGCATTACAGGCACAATCTTTGCTGTTATCTGAGAAATTATTTCTGATATCATTTTTTCCAGATCCTCTTTTGCTGCCAGTTCAGGGAGTCCAGGTGGTTGAGTAACAGAGTGTTCCATCTTGTTTCCCTTTGGGGTTGCTATAGGTGATCTGGAAGTCTGTTTTTGAGGCTTGTTTAGGAGTCTTTTCATTTCCATGGGGGAGGAGGGGTGCTGCTGGTGCCCGCGCAGCTCACCTCTGCCCTAGGAGCAGTGGAATGGTGGGGGGGGGGCTCCTGCTGGGTCCTGGGACTGGCTCACCTCTTCTGCCCTAGGAGCAGTGGAATGGCGGCGGGGGAGCCTCCTCCTGGATGCTGGGATTGGCTCACCTCTTCTGACCCGGCATGAGCTTTTTAAAAAATTTTAACCATTTTCTGTTGTTAGGATGGAAGTTCTCTTTCTTTAAAATGGTGGCAAGTTACACATAAAATTTACATTAACTGATTTTTATTACTATGGATTTATAGTAAGTTTTGAAATAGGAAGTGTGTTCCAAGTTTTTTGTTCTTATTCAAGATTGCTTTGTCTATTTGGGGTCTTTTGATATTCCATATGTATTTTAGGGTTACTTTTCTTTTTCTGAAAACATCATGGGGATTGTATTAGGTATTGCATTAAGTCTATAGGTTCTTTTCTGTAGTATAAACATCTTAACATGGAAGCCTTCCACTTTATAAACAAAGGATGCCTTTCCATTTACTGGTGTCCTCTTTCATTTTTTTCAACAGTGTTTATACTTTTCAGTGTACAAATCTCTGACCTCTTTGAATAAATTTATTCCTAAGTAATTTTTCTTTTTTAAGGTTTTTATTCTTGATATTATAGCAAATTCCTTTTTGAATTATTCTTTGTGAAGCAATTCATTTTTATACATTGATTTCCTTCTATCTTGCAAATGACAGAATTTGGCTTATTAGTTTATTTCTGCGTGTATGTATGTGAGTGTGTGTGTATGTCCTTTAGAGATTTCTACATACAAGTTCATGTCATCTCTGGACAGAGATAATTTTACTTTTTCCTTTCCAATTTGGAAACCTTTGATTTCCTTTTCTTACCTAATTGCTCTGGGTAGTATTCCCATTATGTTGAACAGACGTGGCAGATAACCTTTCAGTCTATGTGTATGTATGTATATGTGTATATATATGCAGAGAGACCATATACAAATATATGGTGTTTGTGTAATAGTCATTGTATCAATATATATTTTCTTTCCTTGTGGGTAAATATCTAGGATTAGAATACTAGTATAATAGATGTCTATGTTTAATATTTAATAACTTGCCAAATTATTTTCTGTTTTCCATATCTACTATCAGAGTTTTTAATGTCTTAGTTTCTCTACAGGTTGTGAACACTTAGTGTTGTCAGTCTTTAACTTTAGCCACCCTAACAGATATTTAGCAGTATTTAATGATTTTCATTTGCATTTCCCTCATGACTGATCTTGATCATGTTTTTGTGTCCCCACTTGCCATCTGTGTGTCTACTGTGGTGATGTGATTGTTCACGTATTTTGCTCATTTTTAAAAACTAGGTTGCCTTAATATTGTTTTGAAAGCTCTTAATATATTTACAAGTTTATATAGTTACAATTACTTTCTGAGGATATGCTTTATAGTTTTCCCCAGTACGTGGCTCTTTGCATTCTACTACTAATGTCATTCCAAGGGCAAAAGTTGGAATTTTCATGAAGTCTAATTTACCAATTTCATCTTTTACAGACTGTGCTTTTAATATCCCATTTCATAAACCACTGTCTTGTTCAAAGTTAATACATACACGAAATATACTCTTCTGTATATATGCTATGCTTTGACTAAAAGCTTTAAAAATTCTGACTTAATTATCAGTCTTCTAATTTATGACAACTCACTTTATGACATTTGCAACACTATATTGCTGAAAATTAGATGATAATAGTTATGTACTAGTTATAATTATTACTGTAAACAACTGTTTGTAAGATCATGAATATGCTTTCTTTATTCTACTCCTGAATTTTTATTCTCAATAACGAATTGTAGGAGCTAATTGCCCATAGTATGTTATAAGGAATGTTATGGGGTTAAAACTCTAAGAAAATCAGTATTTCAATATCAGATGAAATTTTCTGAAAGCAGTACTACATTTTCTATCTTTAAAATAACGATCAAGTTTTTCATGATTTCAAAATAAACCAGAATTCTAAAGAACATTACCTGTACTATCTTGCCACTGGAAATATTCATTTTTTCTGTCATTTTCATCTCAGGTAAAATAAATAAGTTTCTTGACACACTCATTCTGCTTTGAGTTGCACCAGCATATCCTTTCTTCAAAGTTTCTTTTCCTTTTTCAGTAAAGCTAATAGACTTCTTTGATTGTAAGGTACTACTCCTATATAAGGAAAATAAAATATAATTCAGAAGATCCAGAATTGAAAAGAAAAACCAACCAACAATAAAAAGGAAAGCTTTCACTTAAAAATGTGTAAATAGAGTTCAACCCCTGGTATCAAAAGAAAACACAAATAAAAATATGTAAATAATCTACACATATAGTGTGAAATAATGATAGCTCCTTGAGATTGTTTTGTGTTAGCATAGTTTCAGAGAGTTCATCTGCAGTGTGTCACCTTTCCTCTTACAACAACCCTAGGGTTTGCTGTTGACATCATTTTAGGTCAAGTCACAGAGACTGAAAGGGAAATACATATTCCTATCATAGTTGAGATCTGACACAGGCGGTGAGATCCAAAGTCTGTGGATTTCTCTAGGTCTTAGCATCCTTATTTATACAACAGAGATAATAACAGTACTTAAGTCATAGGTTATTATGAGGATTAAATGAATTATTTTATATATTATAGTTAGGAAAGGCCCATTACATAATAAGGACAAATAAGTGTATCGTGCACATACCTATGCAGATTTAAACAGGAGTAAAAACCTGGGAAAGAATAATATGTTCATGTCTGAATAAACTATGTAAGAAGTTTTAATAAGAACAAACAAAACTTATAATAAAACTACACGTACTCAGTATAAAAATATAATTTTATTTTTTTATTTATTCTGTAAGTTCTGTAAGACAGGATTTACATTTTTCATTTTATTCATTCTAGAACTCTGTACTATAGATTTCTATAAAATGAGGATAATCTTTCCTTGGATGATAGAAATGAAATATGCTTCCAAATAAAGTATTTTCAATGATACTTTTACATTCAAATCCTAAAAAAATCGCATAAGAATTAGATATTTTTGAATGACAAAAGTCAACCCAGGTTTCATATTTTTTCTTCACAGCACTTACTACTACCTTACATTTTATTTCCTGCTTTCTCTTCCTCCATAGACTGTAAGCATGTTCAGGACAAGAACTGTCTTACTCACTACTGTATCCTTAAAATATATCACAGTATCCAGTGTATCATGGGCACTAAATATTTTTTAAATAAATGAGAAAATCAATTCCTTTCACATACTATTTTCAATTTATATTCTTTTAAGTAGCCAACCCTATCCTCCTTCCTCTAGTCTCTAAAGGATTTTACTCCTAACCTCATTAACAAAAGTATAAATCATGTAAACACTCCAGATTATTTCTCTACCATTTTAAAATTCTTCTGTCTCCTGCAAACTTGTCTCAATTCATTTTTATCCCTTTTATCCTCTTTCACTAAGAGGTGTCATTTTTATCCAAGATCAATCTTTTAGCTATGCTCTGAAACTGTTTCTTACTGCTTTCTCAGGAACTCTTCTTCATCAGTAATTTCAGGTCTACTATTCTTATCTCCCCATGAGCATAAAATTATGCCCCAGTCATCCTCTCAAAGTAAACATGTTCCCTTTAGCTGTCTTCCTCTATTACTGTATGTCTTCCTTCTTTCACAGTCCAAATTCCTAAAATATTAGTCAAGAATCCTTTTTTGTGAATGGAGTGTGGCTGTACTGGAGATCTAACATAGGGCTGCACACATGCTAGGCAAGGGCCCTATCATTCAACTACACTCCAGTCCTGTCTACTTCTTTATAGCTCTTATTTGCTCCATGATTCAATACAATCTAGTTCTACACACTTCTACTGCATAGGATCTACTTCCATTAAAAGTCATCCATCCCTTCAAATTGTTGAATCCAAGGTATTCTTTTCACTACTCATCTTTGTAGCATCTGAAAGTTGATTATTTTCCTTAAAATTGACTTTTCAAAATGGTTTCTGTGCTAATCATCAGACCTTTCCATTTTTTACCAACTAACCTTTTAGACTTGCTTTTCTCTAGTTAATAGAATCTACAATTTATCAGTTGAATCACTCTTTTGCCATTACCTTCAACTCTTTTGCTTCTCCTGACCTTATGCCCTACTATCTTTATAAAATTCAATCCTGTCATTTTGTTTCTGTTCTTAGAATCCTTCTTTGCAAATTATACCTAGGGTCAGATTGCAGTTATCTGTTCTTTCACTATATAGTCTCTGAGAAAATTTAGCAAAATCTATAGTTTTATCAGCCATGTGTGACCATTAATCATGACACATCATCTTGACTGGATTAAGAAATACCCAGGAGGCTGTTAAACCACACTTTTGGGTATGTTTGGGTGGGTCATGGAAGTGTGACCTTAGGTACTATAATAATCCCTGGCCCATTCCTCCCTACCACTGTTTACCTGCTCTGATTTCCAGCTATGATGAAATGAGCAGCTATGTTCTACCATGCATTTCTACCGTGACGTTCCTGACTCAGAGATAGCTAACCATAGACTGAATCCCCTGAAATCATAAGCCAAATTAACCCTCTCCTCCTTTAAGTTGTGGATGTTGGGTATTTTCTTCCAGTAATGGGAAACCTGACTAATACAGAAAGTTGGTACCAGGAGTGGGGTGGTTGCCATAACTGTGTCTGACCTTTCGATTGGTTTGCAGGAGGAATTTAGAAAGGTTTGGGGGATGTGGCCTAGAGAAGCTTACAATTCTGTAATAAAAACAGCCTGGGGTGACTCTGGTCAAAGCTCAGAAACCAGAATACTGATAGGAATATGGATATAAAGACCAGACTCACAAGGTTTCCTTTGGGAACAAAAACTTAATCAGCAACTGGATTAAAGGCCCTGTGTATTACATTCTGGGAGAAAAGTTTTGACATTTGACCATGTCCTGAGACTCTGCAGGAGACTGACATTAAAGGTAGAGGACTGATTGATCTGGTGGAAGAAATGTGAAAACAGCTCAACATTGTCACTGTGGCCTGGGTACTGCTGGCTGCTTTTAGTCAGATTTATAGTGAAAATCTGAGGCACAAAGCAGAGCAGAAAAATTTGAAAAACTTAAAGTACCCAAAGGAATCATGTGCAAAGTTGGGGTCAATGGAAGTATGGTTGCTAGAGAGATGAGCACCATTTAAAAGAAACCAAGTACTTTGTGCAGGGACAAAAAGAATGATGCCTTGAGGGCATCTCAGAAACCATTAAGACCTCACTCACTTGCTTAAGGATGTAAAATTATCAACATTTCATTTGCAAAGGGAGCCCTTTAGTCCTCTACTTGAAAAGACCGCCTAGAGAATTGGTTTCCACAATATATTTCACTGTGCTCAGCCATCTAGTTTCTTAGAGGATGTTGCAGTAATGGTCCAATGGGGCCTGGCTACTGCTTGCACTGACAGCATACCTTCATGTTATCCATATAATGCTGGTTTTATCATACAGCATACAGAATGCAAGAATTGTGGGATTAGGGAGTATTTCACCCAGATTTTAAAGGAAGGCCTGGGATGCCAGGCAAGGAGCCCCTGAGAGGGCCATGTATGAAGCTGTGAGAATGAAGCCAAAGGTGCAGTGGAGTCCCCAGGAAGTTTGGATGCCAGAGATGTGGAACATTTGCTAAGGTAAACTGCAGGCTGTGAGTGCTGTCAAACTAAGAGAGAGGCCATTGGCCTGGTACCACCCACACCCTCTAGAACTCAAATCTTACCACCATGTGCCCCGGAGTTTGGACATGGAACTACAGAATTTAATATTTTCTTTACTGGCTTTTGGTCTTCTTTTGGTCTGATTCTTTTTCGTCCCCCAATTCTCCATTTTGAGTGGAAATATTTACTGTGTACCATTATACCTTAGGATTATGTAACTTGTTTTTCATTTTTGCAGAGATTCATAGCTAAAAGTTTGCCTTGATTCTCAGAAAAGACTTTGACTTGGGCCTTTGAAAATGCTCCTACTAATCAGATGTTAGGGAGAGAATTAGTGGTATTCTGATTGTGCATAGAATAATATATCATGTCAGCCAGGATTATGAACTTACTGTTATCTTTATTTGGTGATTAAGTATTGTTTAAGATATGACTGGTTGTCAAGTTGGCATGAGTGGATTGTGAACATTAATTATGATATGTCAGTTTGACGGAGTTAAAGAACACCCAGGGAATTATTAGTAAAGCACACTTCTGGGTGTGTTATGATGATGTGAGTTTGGGTATTATATATGGCCCTTGACCCCTTTGTCTCTTGCACTGTTCCTGTGCTGATCCTTGGTAGAGCTTTGCTCTATCAGGCCATTCTGCCATAATGTTCTTGACTTGGAGCCAGCCTATCATGGACTAAATGCCCTGAACCCCTGAGCCAAATTATGCCTCTCTTCCTTTAAGATGTGGAATTTGGGTTTGATGCCCCAGTAATAGGAATGCTCCCTAATAAGCCCTATATATTCACTTCCTAATGTCAGTTTACCATCATTACCACATCCCTTCTCCCAACTCCTGAAGATTTTATATCCTGGATCACTGGCTTTGTCAATATTACACAGAGCACAATTATTGGATATTTCAAAATCCATGAAGGTAATCGATCTACCACCTGGGACTCTTAGCTCTTTGAAATCTTCTTACATAAATGAACTTACCTGACTTGCTACTTTAGCCACAGTCATACACTTGAACCTGTCTTTAGAAAGATCAATGATCACTTCCAATTTTTCACCTTCTACATTCTTAAACTCCAACATCAATTATCCTTCCATTCTAATGACCTTTAAGCCTTTGGTTCTAACACATTTTAATCCCTTATCTGTGTCCCTTGCTATCTCTTCTCTCTTGATCTTAAGGTTATTATAATTGATAGTTGTTATAATCATGCATTACTTATATTCTCACACCCTCTTCCCTTCTTTTCAGTGTATTTTCTGGCAAAACCAAAACCATGGTTGTTATGGCTTGTGTTTAGATGTCCCCTCAAAGCCTCATGTGGTCATAGGTAGGGTTTTTCAAAGGTGGCTGGATCTAGAGTGTGTGATGTTGGGATAAAGGGTATGTGATTACTAAGTTAGTCCACTGATTCTGGGTAGAATTAAGGGTGCCCCACTCTGGAGGTAAGATAAGGGACAGAAAGAGGGTCATTG